AGGAGGTTTTATTTTGTTTCCTGCAGATCTTTTATTAATATTGCTTTATTTAGAATTACTTTGCGTTGCTAGTTTCATTTCATTTTAGCTTTATTCTTTCTTTTTCCTTTTGTTGTTTGGCACAGCTAGTGGTGAGGGTGTGTTTGGCAGTAATGGGGGAGGGAATAATGGTGGTAATCCACACAATAAATTGGATGACAATAATTGCCCCAGGCAAACCTGGATTCCCACACCTCATCATCCTACAACACGTAACATTCATCATCGTACGTATATAATAGAATGCTTTCTTACATTCTATTTTCTGTCTACTTGCTAGTTAGTTTTTGTTGCTTTGTGCTAATTCTGTTGAAATTTTTTAGTAATCTTATATAGTAATTAATTTCAGAAACTCTGGCCAGAGTTTGAGTATAATTGATATTTTATGTTATGTTGCCTGTATTGTGTACGAGTTACATTTGCTTTTGCAGCAGTAGTACATCCAATGAGTCACACCGTAGGTAGCCAACAGCAGTCATTGAGTACATCTAGTGGAGGAAATGGAGCACAAATGCTGAGTCCTTCGCAAGGACAATCTACTGAAACATTTTATGGAACTAACACACCTCCTCAAGATCTTAATCAACCACCTACTGTTGACGCGTTAGCGGCTTCTCTAGGTACGTCATATCTTATCTCTGTTTAGTGCTTCTTAAATTCCAAGTTGATGTTTTTAAATAGGTGAAGGTCAAAACTCTCCTGTCTCACCTGTACATCTTCATCATCCAAATGGATTTCCAGTAGGTACAGCTGCTTACAATTCAGGAGCACCACAGTGGACTGGACCCAATACTCTTACATATACTCAGAGCATGCAACCTCCAGATCACAGACATCTTCATCCTACCTCTTATTGTAAGTTAATGATTGAAAATATATTATTTTAACAGTATCATGACTTATGTTTCTGTTAGGGGGTGGCCATGGTGGTGAGGTAGGTGGAACCATTGGTGGTTTACTGTCTACCCAGCCGGCGCCGGAATACTGGTGTTCTGTTGGTTACTTTGAATTAGATACTCAAGTAGGGGAAACGTTCAAAGTAAGCAGCGGTTGTCCCACCGTAACAGTTGACGGATATGTTGATCCAAGCGGTGGAAATAGATTTTGTTTAGGAGCTTTGAGTAATGTACACAGAACAGAACAAAGTGAAAAAGCGCGTCTTCATATAGGTATAATAAGATAGCTTTTTTTCTTAATTTCTAGTTGCAACAATCAGCTACGTTATCGTGAACTTTTTAGGAAAAGGAGTTGTGTTGGATTTAAGGGGTGAAGGAGATGTTTGGTTAAGATGCCAAAGCGAACATAGTGTCTTTGTACAGTCTTATTATTTAGACAGAGAAGCAGGCCGTGCTCCCGGTGATGCCGTACATAAAATTTATCCTTCCGCATATATTAAAGTTTTTGATTTACGGCAGTGTCATAAGCAAATGAGAGGACAAGCCGCTACTGCTCAAGCTGCGGCCGCGGCACAAGCTGCAGCTGTAGCAGGACATTTGACGCATGGAGCGCCAATTACTAAAAGTTAGTATACTACGTGTTTAATTATTACGAAAATTACATATTTTATAAATATCTCTTTAAT